TTCCTGCTTTGTACTATACCACTCTGGCTTTCTTGGCTCACTACGAAACTCCCTAAAGCTTACTGTATGCTTCCCAGTCGAAACAGTTTGTGCATAGGACTATATTACGTTTTTTCTCGTTTCGGTCTTTGGCAGGTTTATTTTCAGCTGTTCTTCCACACTAAATTTTTTATGGGCATGTCGAAGTTCGGTAGCAGAAGTCTAAGTCCCTTCGTCTGTGATTGGTCAACAGTACTACTTCTAGTAAGAGTGGGAACTGTGGACAGGATTATTCAATGAAGTGACTTCATTTAAGAATCCCGTCCATAGTATTGTTGTCATTCAATGAGAGAGGACTTGTTTTCATGCACATTATTTCACTTGAGAAATACTGCACGAAATATCTTAGATGTAAAATTGTACGACTAAGACCTCCTTGGCAAAAATGTCAAAATTACATTTTTTTTATTAGAATAATTCGGACTATTTTGAAGTAGTGTTCTGGCTATTTTGTTGCTATGGTTTCTTTCTGAGGGACAAACAGCTTTTTTCTAGCTTTTCAAGCAAAGGTATTTTAAGGGAGTATGCCAGCACAGACGTTCGCTTTCACCTATTCGAGTTCTATTAGGAGCAGTAAGAACCTAGTCTGCAGGCGCCTTTAGCCCACTTGGTCTTGGGGATTTCGGCAACTCAGCTCAATTGATGGTGAACCCTCTCTATCGAGCTAGAGAACAGTCAGTACAGTATATCATTATTCATACTGTACTTTCTCTGGTTCAAAGTAAACAAGGTAACCTTAAACATGTCATCCCTCAAGGGATGCAGTGCCCCCCCTTGGGCCAATGAGTGACAATTACTCAAATTTATATTGCATGGATTAATGAGAGAGAGAAAAACAAACAATTAAGTATTTTTTCCCTCACTGGAATTCAAAACTTGATAGCTCACAATGGACGGGATGTCAGAGAACAGATTCCACTGGTTGATAGGGAGCTGCATTACAGGAGAAAAGCTAAGAAAACAAACTTAGTGGCATGTGGGGAAATGTATTTATTTAACAGGCAGATATGTCATCAGAGCTGTTGCGAAATGGTGTTATTTTTTACTCTTTTGGTCTAAATCTGAATCCCATTTTCAAAAAATATAGCTGCAAGCAGCAATTCTGGGGGCAATCGTGGGGTACAAAAACTCTAATTTACGGAAAGTCTAATGAGCAGAGCTTATAAGTCCTTATGGGAAACTTATTGCTCCTGAGGAGATGCAAATATATACAAAATGTAATGACTGTAGCTCAAACAGGACAGGATATATGCTTGTTCAGTGTTTGGAATTTCAGTTGATTACTATAGCACGCCCTTGGGCCAATCAGTGTAATTTTGTAAATGCCGGATCTCTATGGCAAGACGCAACATTCACCCAAGTTTCAACATATACACAGGGAACCTAGACATTTCAATCTGATGAAAACATTTAAATGTTCAAGTAAATCAGATTAAGGGCTAGATTCAATCCATATTGCAGAAGTTCAGTGCTATAGCACGATTAAAAGTTAAAGGCAATGTTCCCACGTTCGTGAAGACTGCATTCACGGTAAACGCTGCATAGGTCTATGTCGGCTCAATCTGAAATTATCTTTCAATTTCAATGACACTATAGCGCTGAACTTCCGCGATATGGATTGAATCGAACCATGATTCAAATTTCCAATGATTTAAATTTGCTGAAACTGCCAACATACCATCAGCATAGACCAGGGCTGCCCAACCCTCTTCCTGGAGATCTACTGTCCTGTAGGTTTTCAGTCCAACCCTCATTTAGCATCTCTGATTCAGCTAGTTAAGGTCTTGTTGAGCAGCTAATAAGTAGAATCAGGTGTGTTAAATTAGGGTTGGACTGAAAACCCACAGGACGGTAGATCTCCAGGAAGAGGGTTGGGCAGCCCTGGTATAGACAATACACTTTACATGACACCCAGCGTCATAACCATGTCATAACAGCTGACATAACTTGTCATAACCTGTTATAGTATGGTCATAACACTGTCATTACAAATTTAGACCTGTTGTGACATATATTGCATTATCTTATGGCTGGTTATGACACCTACATAAGAGTGTCAAAATCCACAAAACCAACCACACAAGGCAAAACATTCCATTACACCATAGCCTACAGTGCCTTGCGAAAGTATTAACCCCCCTTGGCATTTGTCCTATTTTGTTGGATTACAACCTGTAATTTAAATGGATTTTTATTTGGAATTCATGTCATGGACATACACAAAATAGTCCAAATTGGTGAAGTGAAATGAAGAAAATAACTTATTTCAAGAAATTCTAAAAGATAAATAACGGAAAAGTGGTACGTGCATATGAATTCACCCCCTTAGCTATGAAGCCCCTAAATAAGATCTGGTGCAACCAATTACCTTCAGAAGTCACATAATTAGTTAAATAAAGTCCACCTGTGTGCAATCTAAGTGTCACATGATCTGTCACATGATCTCAGTATATATACATATGTTCTGAAAGGCCCCAGAGTCTCCAACACCACTAAGCAAGGGGCACCACCAAGCAAGCGGCACCATGAAGACCAAGGAGCTCTCCAAACAGGTCAGGGACAAAGTTGTGGAGAAGTACAGATCAGGGTTGGGTTACAAAAAAATATCCGAAACTTTGAACATGCCACCATTAAAACCATTAATAAAAAATGGAAAGAATATGGCACCACAACAATCCTGCCAAGAGAGGGCCGCCCACCAAAACTCACAGACCAGGTAAGGAAGACATTAATCAGAGATGCAACAAAGAGACCAAAGATAACCCTGAAGGAGCTGCAAAGCGTCACAGCGGAGATTGGAGTATCTGTCCATAGGAACACTTTAAGCCGTACACTCCACAGAGCTGGGCTTTACGGAAGAGTGGCCAGAAAAAAGCCATTGCTTAAAGAAAAAAATAAGCAGACACATTTGGTGTTCACCAAAAGGCATGTGGGAGACTCCCCAAACATATGGAAGAAGGTACTCTGGTCAGATGAGACTAAAACTGAGCTTTTTGGCCATCAAGGAAAACGCTATGTCTGGCGCAAACCCAACACCTCTCATCACCCTGACAACACTATGGTGGTGGCAGCATTATGCTGTGGGGATGTTTTTCATTGGCAGGGACTGGGAAACTGGTCAGAATTGAAGGAATGATGGCTGGCACTAAATACAGGGAAATTCTTGAGGGGAAACCTGTTTCAGTCTTCCAGAGATTTGAGACTGGGACGGAGGTTCACCTTCCATCAGGACAATGACCCTAAGCATACTGCTAAATTTTATTTTACCTTCATACACAAAAAAATAAATATATATGCACGCATGACTGTAAGTCGCTTTGGATAAAAGCGTCTGCTAAATGGCATATTATTATTATTATTATTATTTAACTAGGCAAGTCAGTTAAGAACAAATTCTTATTTACAATGACGGCCTACACCAGCCAAACCCGGACGATGCTGGGCCAATTGTGCGCCACCCTATGGGACTCCCAATCACGGCCGGTTGTGATACAGCCTGGAATCGAACCAGGGGGTCTGTAGTGACACCTCTAGCACTGAGATGCAGTGCCTTAGACCGCTGCGCCACTCGGGAGCAACACTCAAGTGGTTTAAGGGGAAACATTTAAATGTCTTGGAATGGCCTGGTCAAAGCCCAGACCTCAATCAAATTGAGAATCTGTGGTATGACTTAAAGATTGCAGCACACCAGCGGAACCCATCCAACTTGAAGGAGCTGGAGCAGCTTTGACTTGAATGGGCAAAAATCCCAGTGGCTAGATGTGCCAAGTTTATGGAGACATACCCTAAGAGACTTGCAGCTGTAATTGCTGCAAAAGGTGTCTCAAAATAGGAAAAATGCCCAGGGGGGTAAATACTTTCGCAAGCCACTGTGCGTGTACGTAACAGTATGTTTATGATGTGTGTGTATATATATATATATATATACACATTATATTTAATTTTTTTATTTAACATGTTCAATTATCATTGTAATTGCACACACATTGATGTCAGACATGCACCTACCTCAATGCGCTGTTGCTGATGCCTGGGATGAATGCAGCAGCAGATATATGTAGTCCCGTGTAGCTCAGTTGGTAGAGCATGGGGCTTGCAACGTCAGGGTTGTGGGTTGGTTTCCCACGGGGGACCAGAATGAAAAAATGTATGCACTCACTAACTGTTAGTCGCTCTGGATAAGAGTGTCTGCTAAATGATTAAAATGTAAATATCAGGACCAGGTCAAGACACCCTCTTTTTGACTGATATAAGGGCATGTACGTGATAGGCCTATCTGGCTTGCATGCTTCTTGAGTGTCATAAAGTGTATTTTCTTAGTCCAAGTAAAGTGAAACAGGATGGTCATAATGCCTCATGACAGTGCCAAAGTGTATTTTCTACAAGTTATTAAAAAATGTATGAAAAAAAACGACTAAACAAAAACAAAAGATTTAAGAGACAAACTTTCGAATGAAAGGACATTTCTTGGGCAGGGAAAAAACTAATTTGAATAAATGTGGGTTTTGACACTTATGTAGGTGTCATAACCAGCAATAACCGGTGTAAATATATGGGTCATGAAAGTGTTATGACCATATTATGACAAGTTATTTATGTCATCTGTTATGACATACGACATGGTTATGACCGTGTCATAGTGTTATGACACTGGGTGTCAAGTAAAGTGTTACCAAAAATAATTAAGAATCTACCAAAAAACGGTCAGTGAGTTTGACTCAGTATTGCTTCTACAACTCTCCTCAGCAGCACAGTTCATAAAAGCATTGAAAATGAACACAAAAATGGGTGACAAATATTTAGGAGAGTTCCTACAGTAGCATTCTGTACATCTCAGTCAAGTACACATCATCACTCCAAATAAACAATGCCTTAGTGTTGCCCTTAGCGAAGCAGATACCCATGAGCAGGTTTCAGTTGTAATACTGTTTGGCTTTTCAGTAAAAAATAAATAATTGTAGTTAGTATTGATAACGTCCTCTTTTTCCTCCATGACCCCAACCACCGCCACCTCCTACTCCACCCCCTCCTTGCCAGCCACCCTTAACCCCTCCCACTCCCCAACTACCACCACCACCTCCCCGACCACCACGACTGCCTCCGCTGTCTTGTCTCTTGTGCCAGGCTGGCATCTCAGGGAGGGGGGCATCTATCTCAGAGGGCCGACCACCACGATCTGGTACCCTCCCCATCAGGATCTATAGAAGTGAAATACAATGGTAGGTCAATGATAGAACAATGGCTGGGGACCATGGACACTCATTTGGTCAGTTATACTGCTTTGGCATAAAGACTCAACACTTCTGTACACTCAGACAATTGCACACAATGAACCTTGGGTCACATTCCACAGTACCTTATTGATGGCACAGGCAGTATTCTCTCTGCTGGAGCCACTGCTGGTCTTCACCACGTTGCAGATGTCCTCCCTGGCTGCCAGCAGGTGAGCCATGCCCACAGACGACCTCTGGGCCAGGGAGTCTCTCTTAGGCTGGTAGGCCCTGGCCATGCTGTCAACTCTCTCCTAACAGAAAATACAGACAGGCAGTTTGTTGAACATAGGACATGCACAATTACATTCTTCATAGAGAGTAGAAAGGGTGTAGCCTGCCGATTAAGGACAGTATCACTAGTAGCACTGTGAGGAAAGGGTGTCACTTTAGACCAGGGATGTGCAACTTGCCCCCAAATAAAGAAATAACCTTTTTTTTTTAGGAACTCAGTCGGAGTGAGAATAGTAGAATATACAGTGCATTTGGAAAGTATTCAGACCCCTTGACTTTTTCCACATTTTGTTACGTTACAAGCCTTATTCTAAAATTGATTATTTTATTTTATTGTTTTTCCTCATCAAATCTACACACAATACAGCATATTGACAAAGCAAAAACAGGTTTTTAGAAATTTTAGCACATTTCTGAAAAATGAAAAACTGAAATATCACATTTACATAAGTATTCAGACCCTTTGGTCAGTACTTTGTTGAAGCACCTTTGGCAGCGATTACAGCCTCGAGTCTTCTTGGGTATGACGATACAAGCTTGGCACACCTGTATTTGGGGAGTTTCTCCCATTCTTCTCTGCAGATCCTCTCAAGCTCTGTCAGGTTGGATGGGGAGCGCCACTGCACAGCTATTTTCAGGTCTTTCCAGAGATGTTCAATCAGGTTCAAGTCCGGGCTCTGGCTGGGCCACTCAAGGACATTCAGAGAATTGTCCCAAAGCCACTCCTCCGTTGTCTTGGCTGTGTAGTTAGGGTTGTTGTCCTGTTGGAAGGTGAACCTTCACCCCAGTCTGAGGTCCTGAGCGCTCTGTAGCAGATTTTCATCAAAGATCTCTCTGTACTTTGCTCCGTTCATCTTTCCCTTGATCCTGACTAGTCTCCCAGTCCCTGCCGCTGAAAAATATCCCCACAGCAAGATGCTGCCACCACCATGCTTCACCGTAGGGATGGTGCCAGGTTTCCTCCAGACGTGACGCTTGGCATTCAGGCCAAAGAGTTCAATCTTGGTTTCATCAGACCAGAGAATCTTGTTTCTCATGGTCTGAGAGTCTTTAGGTGCCTTTTGGCAAACTCCAAGCGGGCTGTCATGTGCCTTCAGCTGAGGAGTGGGTTCCGTCTGGCCACTCTACCATAAAGACCTGATTGGTGGAGTGCTGCAGAGATGGTTGTCCTTCTGGAAGGTTCTCCCATCTCCACAGAGGAACTCTGGAGCTCTATCAGAGTGACCATCGGGTTCTTGGTCACCTCCCTGACCAAGGCCCTTCATGACGATTGCTCAGTTTGTCCAGGCGGCCAGCTCTAGGAAGAGTCTTGGTGGTTCCAAACTTCTTCCATTTAAGAATGATGGAGGCCACTGTGTTCTTGGGGACCTTCAATGCTGCAGACATTTTTTGGTACCCTTCCCCAGATCTGTGCCTCGACACAATCCTATCTCTGAGGCTCTACGGACAATTCCTTCAACATCATGGCTTGGTTTTTGCTCTGAAATGCACTGTCAACTGTGGGACCTTATATAGACAGGTGTGTGCCTTTCCAAATCATGTCCAATCAATTGAATTTACCCCAGGTGGATTCCAATCAAGTTGTAGAAACATCTCAAGGATGATCAATGGAAACAGGATGCACCTGAGCAAAATTTAGAGTCTCATAGCAAAGGGTCTGAATACTTCTGTACTTTTTATTTTTAATACATTTGCAAACATTTCTAAAAACCTGTTTTCACTTTGTCATTATGGGGTACTGTGTGTAGATTGAGGGAAAAACAGTATTTAATCAATTTTAGAATAAGGCTGTAACGTAACAAAATGTGGAAAAAGTAAAGGGGTCTGAATACTTTCCGAATGCACTGTACGGGGTGCAATTCTAAATTTGGTTGTGCATCAGCAGTTTCTCTCTTGTTATGTCAGTCACTCAATTAGCCCATTAATTAATTAGCCCATTTCAGCTAACATTTTGTAGATTGATAAGTTGGTCTAGCTGCCAGCTATCTAATCATGGTCGAATTACCGACCGGGGGGGCCCCCATTGATTTTGTTAGTCACTGTCACTCAGATATATTAAAAACTGCAGGAATAATTGCAGGAAATTAGTTATAAAAATCTTTTCTCTACGCTCCATGGCAAAATGTGTAAAATTACAGGAAATTAAGTGTAAAACTTTAATTTTTCTCTGACTGCATGTGTGGGTATGGATGTGGGTATGCAGACCCGCGAGCCACTCCGGCCTCTCATGATGACTTCAGATTTTTTGTGGCCCCCACCCCTATCAAAGTTGCCCATCCCTGCTTTAGACTATTGAGATGCACCCAAAGACTCCACCTGCCTTGGCTCTGTCTGACCAGCCGAAAGACTGCACAGTGACGTCTAGACGTTTGATCAGCAGCCTCCGTCGACACTCATACTGTGAGGACAGGACCGTGTTGATCTGCTCCAGCCTTTCCTGTGGATACAGACAAGGCCCAGAGTCAATAGACACACTTGACATCCCTTCATGCCTTAGCAGGAATTATGAACTTTGCCTCCACAAAAATGGGTGAAAGTCTGAATGCAGTCTGCTTACCCACTGTTCACTGTCGAGAGAGTTCTTCAGTACTGACTTTCCAATGTGATCCTTTGGAAGCTCTTGAAGCACTGCGTTTATCTGGAAATACATATATACAATACATCTGTTGAATACAAAGACAAAGATACAATCAATGGCTATGCATTCGGGACTTTCTCACAGACTTTCTATTGGGTTAATGAAGGCCATTTTTGGTATACCTTTGGTATACCAGACCTGAGGTTAGAGAGGAAGTGTCAGGTGCGCAAGACTAACTTTGACACACCTTTTGTTCTATCCCAGAGAACAGCTCTGCTACTTCCTGCTCTCTTGGCTCTGGGAGCTTCAGTGTTTCACAGATTGCCTGGAGATCGTTTCGGTCTTTGGGTTCTTTGTCCTCAACATGTCGGCTCTTCACTATCTGTGCAGCTTGTACCTCTGAGATTAAAAACACTGCAGAATAAAGATATGAGCCACAGGTAAAAATCGCATTCATGTAAAATGGAAACTCAGACAAATAAATATGTCAGAACCATGGCAGAGCCGCAACACACCAAAAGGGTATCATAACATGATGGTACTCAGACCAGTTTTCTGAACAAATGGTCATTTCAGTACTTACATGCTAGCTTTAGATAGTCCTTATTATTCTGCAGCCCTCCCTGTAGAATCCCGGAGACAAGGCCTTGATAGGGGCACTGCAACTCCTTCAGCATGCCACTCATCTCAAACCGAAGGCCATCAGTGTCACCTAAACACAACGTTTCAGAATGAAATGCCCACACTAGTAGAAATCCACTTTTTCGAGCTGAAAGACGAAAGCCAGAGCTTACCCATGATGGTGCACAACGATTTAAGTCAATAAGTCAGAGTTTTAGTCAAAGTATGATATATTTGGGCTGGAAGTGACAAATCCGATCTGCTCACTTCATTCAGATCTGTGTGAATGCGGTGTCTTTTCCTATGATATGACACACTATTTATTTTCAGCCTACGTTTCGTTTCAGGGCTGGGTTTTATTTTAATGTTACCACCCACCAGCATGGCATTGTTTAATAATCAGAAACAGCTGCAAAGTTATTCCTCTTCGCGACTGACATGAGCCAAACAGCAGATGACAATCTGTTTCCCTTCCATTTGGGACTTATTTTATTGAACTGATCAACAACATTTACATAGTCAGTTCGCTGAGGCAATAGATCATCTTTGGGAGAGACGTCAGAGAGAGACCGATTAAGTGAATGAATAAAGTTTTGGTGGCAATCAGCTTTGAAATCAGCATATTTTGCGTTATGGTTTGCACAAAGTACCAGGGTAGTGAATTGATGATCACGTCAGCTGTAAGCTAACAAGAAAAGTTAGCCAACAAAGCTGGAAGCTAACTGTATCTTCTTGCATTGTAGTGTGTTCTATCCTGTATGGACATTGTTTTACAAAGTTTCAACCTTTCTACATAACGTGTCGCATTATTCAAGTGTGTTAACTTCTGTGCAGCATGAGCGGGGAGCTAACATGATGCAGCCCAGACTCCCAGTGCAGGCACAGTGCTCTCTCTATAAGGGGGACATCGGCTGTGCTGATAAGAGTTGATTAGTGAGACACATTTGACATAAGTACCGAAAGTAACAAATTATTTTACAGAACCGTTTTTCATGTTCTAGTATCAAAAAAGTACCAACGTTTCGGTATCCCGTGCAACACCACCAGCGACCTTTCGGTTACTGGCCCAACGTTCTAACCCCTAGGCCTTTTTTTACCCTAAAAGTATTTGTAAAATAGGTCTGTCTATGTGTATATGTACAGTGCATTCGGAAAATATTCAGACCCCTTTACTTTTTCCACATTTTGTTATGTTACAGCCTTATTCTAAAATTGATAAAAGTTTTTTTTTCTTCCCACTCATCAATCTACACACAATACCCCATAATGACAAAGCAAAAACAGGTTTTTAGAAATGTTATCACATTTATGAAAAACTGAAATATGACATTTACATAAGTACTCAGTACTTTGTTGAAGAACCTTTGGCAGTGATTACAGCTTTGAGTCTTCTTGGGTATGACGCTACAAACTTGGCACACCTGTATTTAGGGAGTTTCTCCCATTCTTCTCTGCAGATCCTCTCAAGCTCTGTCAGGTTGGATGGGGAGCGCCGCTGCACAGCTACTTTCAGGTCTTTCCAGAGATGTTCGATCAGGTTCAAAACCGGGCTCTGGCTGGGACACTCAAGGACATTCAGAGAATTGTCCCGAAGCCACTCCTCCGTTGTCTTGGCTGTGTAGTTAGGGTCGTTGTCCTGTTGGAAGGTGAACCTTCACCCCAGTCTGAGGTCCTGAGCGCTCTGGAGCAGGTTTTCATCAAGGATCTCTCTGTACTTTGCTCCGTTCATCTTTCCCTCGATCCAGACTAGTCTCCCAGTCCCTGCCACTGAAAGATATCCCCACAGCAAGATGCTGTCACCACCATGCTTCACCGTAGGGATGGTGCCAGGTTTCCTCCAGACGTGACGCTTGGCATTCAGGCCAAAGAGTTCAATCTTGGTTTCATCAGACCAGAGAATCTTGTTTTCATGGTCTGAGAGTCCTTTAGGTGCCTTTTTGCAAACTCCAAGCGGGCTGTCATGTGCCTTTTACTGAGGAGTGGCTTCCGTCTGGCCACTCTACCATAAAGGCCTGATTGGTGGAGTGCTGCAGAGATGGTTGTCCTTCTGGAAGGTTCTCCCATCTGGAGCTCTGTCAGAGTGACCATCGGGTTCTCGGTCACCTCCCTGACCAAGGCCCTTCTCCCCCGATTGCTCAGTCTTGGTGGTTCCAAACTTCTTCCATTTAAGAATGATAGAGGCCACTGTGTTCTTGGGGACCTTCAATGCTGCAGACATTTTTTGGTACCCTTCCCCAGATCTATGCCTCGACACAATCCTTTCTCGGAGCGCCATGGACAATTCCTTCGACCCCATGGCTTGGTTTTTGCTCTGACGTGCACTGCCAACTGGTGTGTGCCTTTCCAAATCATGTCCAATCAATTGAATTTACCCCAGGTGGACTCCAATCAAGTTAAAGAAACTTCTCAAGGATGATCAATGGAAAAAGGATGCACCTGAGCTCAATTTCAAGTCTCATAGCAAAGGGTCTGAATACTTATGTAAATAAGATATTTCTGTTTTATTTTTAATAAATTTGCACCAAAAAAATATATATATATATATGTTTTCGCTTTGTCATTATGGGGTATTGTGTGTAGATAAATAAAATAAAATCCTTATCAATTTTAGAATAAGGCTGTAACGTAACACAATGTGGAGAAAGGGAAGGGGTCTGAATACTTTCCGAATGCACTGTATTTATATTACCATTTTATAAATGGTATACACAGAGTATACCAAACATTAGGAACACCTTTCTAATATTGAGTTGCACCCGCCTGCCAGCAGCCTACATACCAAAGGTTCCACCGTGTCCATTACAGTGTATAAAAATGCATACCAGCTATCTTTCAATAGTTAACCATATTACTAGAGCTTCATCTCATCTTTCTAAATATTTCTATAACGGATTCGCGGCCGCAATTTATGGAAGATGCCAAAACTTTGGAGATAACAATAGATGGCGAAGTCAAAGACATGCCAGTGGTTTCCATCTGTGGTGATGTTTTCCCTAAATCAATGCTTATGACAAATCCAACTGCAGAACCAGCTATAGAGCCAGCTGGCTAATCTTTTGAATATGGTGTAGTTAAAAAAAACCCAGCAACAACAGATAACATTAGCTAGCTAGATAAGGTTAGCATGCTAGCTAGCTACACTGACAGCTCAGTGCCCTATTTGTTGATGTTTATCAACTTCACCCGGAAATTCCCACACCCAATTCGTGAACCAATGTATAAGTAGTCTTCGTCATTCTTCGGAGGTGGAACCTAAACGTGCATTTCCTCTCTAGGACAAGAAATTACATCTAAATAGTGGTGGCAACTTCCTCTGGAAGGGTTCCTTTAACATCGCAATCACTAAAGTATAAAACAACTGGAGACTTGGGTTGTTTTCAACCTAATCTACTCATGTTTGCATAAGTCGATTCATGGACCATCTATATCTGGGTTGCATCCGGTTTACACCGCCCAACTTCACAAGCGCACTAGGACTCAGTGCATCATGTCATCCAAAAATATGGCAGACATTGGATGAATATAAACATTTTATATCTTTGGCTGTGAATGATGAGAAAAAGAAAGAAAAATGTGGCCTCAGCGACAATTACTTGAATAATTCTACGGATGTTTAGTGCACAAAGGTAATGACTAAAGTGTCTTATTTGGAATTTTCTAATCGGACTTCTCTAGTCGAAACCATGCTTCTAAACCGGAACCCTGGCCCCTTGGCTGCATTAGCTAGGTAGTATGTGATTTAACAAAACAAATGTCAACCAAATGGGACAGTGAGAGGTGATGATGTCTGATGGTATTTTGGCTCACCAGAACCTGATGTACTGCTCTCTTCCAGGTCACATAACGGTTTCAGACGGGATGCAAACCACATGCATAGGTTGACATACTCTGGTGATGACAGTCCACCTTCACATGCTTTGACAAGCGTCTCCACATCCTGCAGAGGTCCTTCATACCTGCGCATCAAAAGACAACAAATTTAGCTCGAGAACCCAGGGCGGCATACATACGTAATTTACGTCGTAAGGCTAGTATTAGCATACCGAACATGCATGGGCAAGCTAGCTAGCGTCGAATCATATGATAGCACTTGGATTTTGAATGGATGCATTTGCGAGGGAATGAGCATATACTTTGAATACCCCTGCCTAGAACGACTACAGCGTAATCCGTGATGCCAGCATCTGATGGTGCCGGAGAGTGGCTCGCTTACCCAACTTGTTCCAGCGCATCTAAAATATCACGTTCCATTATGGCAGACAACAATATCAGCAGATTCCTTCAACGTTATAGATGTAACCGATATAAACGTGAGTGTGTTGACATTGTGAAATACAAACATACATTATTAGGTTAATTCATCGGCTAGCTAAAATGTTTTGGGAAAAACATCCCGAGAGTCAGGAGTAACGGAAATGAAATCCGTAGTGAAACATGCATGTTGGTTACTTTTGTTCCTGCCATAGAGATAGATAGAGCCTACTTTAGCATGGGCGGCGTTTTGAAGTAGTCAACTGGGACCAGTGTGTTGAGAACAGCATTAGCGTGAGCAACAATAGTGGAATTGGCGGTTCGCCTTTAAAATAAAAGTCCCCCATTGAAACTGACGCAAACTGATACAAACAATGGAAACATGCCACAATTGGACTAATTGGACTAGATAATGCTAAACAAGATTGGAATGTTGTTATATAAATTCAAGAAAATACAATTATTAGTTAATCTGACCAAAGAAAAATCTGTTGAAATCGCACTGGATGTATTAGGCTTCAGAATTGGGGGCTTACTTGTATGCACTGTACAGCGTAACCTATGGATTGTGCACCCATGAAATGTGGTATCAGCCTACTCAGTGACACCCACAGAACACAACTATGTAGAGTTTACACAAATATTAGCATCATAGATCTTATTGCAGGACTTTGACTGTGGGAAATCACCATCCCAGTCAGTCTATTGGTACACCATTGGTACCAATACACTGTTTGTTGAGATTGACATAGTCTATTTATTGTGGTGTTGAAAACGCAAACCATGATATTGAAGTGCCCAAAGTCGAAGGCTTGGCATGACAATCTCCTAATGTCATTAAACTTTTTGGTGTTTTGTACATTCATCAATTGGCCGCTGCACAGTTTGGAGTGATTTATTTTATTTGTCAGTAAAAAAAAATACATATATACACCAAGGTTTTTAAGTGACCGGGATCGCACAATAAAGTCGAGGACTTTTTTCCATTGTGGTCCTTATTTTTTACATAAATACATATACAATTACATAGATACAGACACATTACAGAGATACAGACACATTACATAGATACAGACACATTACATAGACAGAGACAAAAAAAGGGGGGGAGGGGGGAGTTTAAGTACAATTCTTACAAGCTTGTTTGGCTGGTAGCTAATTCTTTAGATGTTTGGGGCTGCTGGTGAACCATGATGTGCAGGCATAATCAGTGACACTGGACTAGCGCACTTGCCAGAGTCTTTAGGGTGTCTATAGCTAGGTTTCCATCCAATTGGCGACAGATTTTCATGCAAATATTCTAAAATCGCCAGACAACATGACAGGGAAGATTTTAATTTACTGGACATTTGAGAAATGTTATGGACATCCATATGCATTCAGATCTGACCTGGCGCAGCCAGCGCCATCAATAAATGAGGGATGTTGGCCAAATGAGGCACAATTACGTGTCCTTAAAAATAGCTATAACAAATTACAAAAACACTGTTCCTTGTGTTTCGATGTGTAGCATGTGCAAAACTTTATAGGCTTTTTTTTGTTTGTTTTTTAGGCTACTTTCCTAAAATAATAATTGTCCACCTCATGGTTCAGCTGTCAGAGATTTGAGCACTAAATGTATAGAGATAGACAGAGATAGAGATATGCCTGTGGCATGCTACTATAAGACATGCATTTATTTATGTCAGATGGTTACTGCGTCTGCTATACAGATATAGACATACAGAAGGAGGCTAATTCGTAAATTCTCGATCAAAATATTTTATATAAAGATAAGCATTACAATGTTAGATTATAGGAGTAACTCTGGTAGGCCTGAAACAGACTTCCTCACCTCAAGTTCAACTGTCAGTTCAACATATCATAGGCCTGCATTAGCTAAAGCTGAATAATAGCCACACCAGACCAAACCTTTAAAACGTTTCTAAACTTTATTAGGGTAATATCAAAAGTAAGTCCAGCCATTGTTTATAGGTGAAATTTGAGCAGAAGAGCAAATGTTAACCAGGGAAAAAGCACACTACCCTCGATTTGTCTCTAATAGGCCCAATTGTATTTTGTTTAATTTATATAGCAACATTCCAACCTTGTTTAGCATGATCTAATCCAATTGTGGCATGTTTTCGGCAGTATTTTTAGAGGTTGTGCATACAGTTTTTAATGGCAGGGAATTTTATGTGTTGGAAGGCTGAACCGCCATGTATCCTATTGTTGCTAATGTAAATGTTGTCAAGAACACATTTATCGGTTGCACAGTTTTATGGGGGTTTATAACGACGATTCCTATTCTCATGTTAATTTTTAGCCAGTAGTTCTGAAAGTAGCCTGATGAACCAAAAGTGGTCCCTGAAAATTGCATACTACGTCACATATGTGCAGATATGTGCACCATGTCATTGCTCTCTCTCTCTCGCTCTGCTGTGTGTGCATCTTGCTAGCTGTCACTCAAATGCCGAGGGGCTGAAGCTCATTGGTTAGAACTAGGGTAGGGAAAATGGTGCTCCACAGCTTTCAGGAAAAACAGTTGCTTTCAAACTTGGGATTTCGTGGCTAATTGAGGTAAAACAGTAATTCTGCTCATAGATTATGCATGTTTGAACTACACATTGGCACATCAAGCCCAAAGCGGGAGATTTAAAAATCCTTAGTAGTCTTTAAGGGACTGTACATTATTTATAATGAGGGATACCTGGAGAAAATCGGATCTCTCTGAAATGAAAATGGATGGCCCTCCTTTCAGTAAAATCTATTTTTACCCGACCCTGAACACTTGAAAAAAACAAACAAGTGACCCCCCCATACCCAAAATAATAATTAAAACATAACATGGATAGCAGAGAACATGCCTACATTTACCCTCACTCCTAGGACAGACCAGAGCCTTAGGTATGCAGTTTTAGAAACTGCTGTTAGTTTTTTAAGCATTACATGGAAAAGTAGCCAGAGGTTTGTGGATTCGCAGACCACGTAGGTCAAGGGTGAAAGGATATCTGCATGAATCTATCTTATTTGGTGTCCGAGAAAAAAATGGCCTTTTATAAATGCATTTCATGCAACATCATTTTACATGACTGGAGACAAGCATCATCTTTTTTTAATACCACAACAGAGCATGACAAGGAATGAGCGCATGCTGCAGCACCAGATACTTTTTGATTTCTATAAAGGCTATTGTTAAAAAATAGGATAGTCTAAGTTTGGAACAGTGCTAAAGTTGTCTATCAACTGTAAAATTGTTGGCAACAGAACCAGTTACAACTGAAATATCTGATCATCAATTAATTGAAAAAAAAAGCAATTAATTGTTTAACACAGCAGCCACATATCATCAGGTAGGCCTATTTGCTCAACAGAGCGTGAACCACAGACTATGCTTTGATTGAAACAACATAGGCCTACAAGAAATGCTAATAGTTTAATACCATCTCCTTTAATTCGCTAGCAAAATAGTTATTGAAGACGATCTAAATGCATATTCCCATGAAATTGATTGAGATCAAATGACTGGCATGCAGTTTGGACATTTCACCAGTAAAACGTGAAGAATTAGGATTGACAGTGATAATGGCCTATTTTGAAATTAGGTAGGCCTAACTTGGTGTTTGAGGGTATTATTTATTTTTCTTCAAGATATGTTGGCATATAGGCAGACGTTGCAATTGGAGGATGCATTTTATGCACCTATTCTATAATGATATTCAATCTGTCAGTACACACTTTGATTGAGAAATTGTAATTTTATTATTATTTTTGCACTCCCTCACCACCCTAAAAGATAGCACCTCACCACTGCTCCTCAGCTATAGAAGGTTGTAGCGCAGCCTCCGAATGTCATAGAGACAAACCAAATACATCCCATATGCATCGGAGTCTTTTCCCGGCATTTTACAGCTTGTTTCTAGCATTGCGGACTAAAGCGTTGTTATAGATCGCTTTATATAATCAGGTCCATTTAATTATTTCCAAAATCTTAAGTTAACAAGGGGTAGGCCTATGCTTTTAGACAATTTCTTTAACAAAAGTCACAATACCCCCTCAATTCGAGCCCTGGTTTTAACTTAACACCAAGCTCTTCACTGACACTGAGATTTTTAATGAGTGCATGATGACTGAAGGAATTGGCTGACAAAATCAATGAATAGTAGACTATAGGCCTACCTCTTATTTCTTGAATAGGAAGAAATAGGCTCCAACACTTGTTGTTAGTAGCCTAAAGTCAAATTAAAATGAAGAATGTTTAAATTAATTAGGCCTTCTGGAATTAGCCTACTTTCAGCACCCATTTGCTGTCCATCTCCATGGTTGCCGCGTCATAGTAATGTAAGTTATGTAAATTACTTGAATATGGCTTATTGTGAGGTCAATAACTCTGACAAATAGCTTCATTATGGGCAATGAAACATATTGTTTTTATTAAAATCAATTATAGCAGTAGCAAGCTTTGGACCCCAGTAAGAACTAATGGGGATCCGGAATAAAATACCCCCCAAAAATACCTCTGGTCCTCCTCATCTTCACGCTTTCCCTCTCAAACTGAACAGGACATCAGTAGGCCTAGTCCACCCGCACAGATATAGCATTTTTTGGACAAATCGACTCGCCTTGACAAGTGCCACCGTACACAGCACAGTCATTGGTTAGGCAGCACAAGCACAAGCATTTCACTACACCCACAATAACATCTGCTAAATATGTGTATGTGACCAATATAATTTGATTTGATTTGATTTTACAAAAGGGTTTCTTTACATCAGCAAGAGTGGGGCAGGGCGGGGCTCATGATTGGGAACACATATCCATTGCAGTGTGTAATGCAGTTTAGCCTAGTTTTATGTACACCATCCCACCAGCGCAGAAACTCGGGAAGGAAGTACATTTTCTTAGAAATATAACTTTGCCCTGTGCTTCTCCGAGCATGCTCTTCATATAGCCAAGGCCTATAGCCTATAGTATAGGCTATGGATCATTTTATTGAGAACACACTAGGTGCACTTGATATTGCTCGCCCAGCAGAGAATCGGGGATGAGGGGCATCATCGGTCACACATGAGATACTATAATAAGCAACTCATTCTTAAACCCTGAGGAATATGACATTTAATCTATTACAAATTACATGCCCCTCCCCTGTACTAAATGTAAAAAAAATACTAAACCATCCCCATG